TTTACGTGAACAAATTATTTACCCCGTTATTTTTAATTTTTTTTTTTTTTTTTTGTACTTAGCTTTCACCTTTACGTTTATGATGCTTTATGGGAAATATATTGTAAAGAAATTAAAATAAAACTGTTAAGAGTGACATTAAATTTCATATTTCTTAAGAAAGGTTTCTAATTAATTTATAGGTACCTTTCTTATGAAATTTTATCAGAATTGTACATAAAATACTATAATTTTATGTACATTTCTTACATTCTACTGTTATTTGTATTTGCATTCATTTTATTATTAATTTTGATATTTCATTTATGGAAAAATGTCGTAACTGAGATTAATATAAAAGATCATATAAATTTCATAGGATGATACTGATACTTGTAGGTACCCTTCTCAGTTGAAATTGAAAAATCAAATTAACTTCTCCACACGTATTTCGCAAAAGTAAAGGCCTTAACAGCGGAGAACAATGCTTAACTCAAATAACGCAATATTCTGGTTGGTCTTCCGTATTTTATAATTACAGCTCGATTATAAGCACAAAATTACATTTCTTAATTACTGGGTATCTTCTGATTAGTCAAAATGATACAATTTACAACGCGCTAAAAAACGATCTATCTCATAAGGATACTTATGAAAGCCGATGCAGCTTTTAACTAATTTTATAATATTTTAACAACTTAAATGTAAAATCTATTATAATTAATGAAATAACAAATAATTGTATTAAAAATTCATTTTCATCGAAAAAAATTTTTTTTGCTTTCAGAAAATATTGTCCATATTCATAAAAAACAACTAAAAGCAAATAAAAGCATTTGAAATTAAATAATATATTTTTTTTATTGAGTTTTGTATGTTACAATTCAGAGCTGATTTTCAGGTACTGCGTATCCAATTAAAAACAAAAAAAAACATGATTTGCATTCCTCAAAACCCTGTGCTTTTAATTATTGTAATCACTAAAACCGATGCGATTGAATTTCTAGCGTTTTCATAAAATTAGTTATGGGGGTAATAAATATTTAAAAAAATATTTCTACCATGACTTTCATAAAAAAAACATATTTATAATAATTTCGATCATCTGTGAATAGTTTCTGAAAGTTTCATTAACATCCGATAATTATTTCTATTTTTGCAATGATTTTTCAAATTAATGTGTCATACCAAAAAAAACGTGCTAAAATTGTCTATATTATTTACTAGTTCCGCTGATACAAATAGAAAAAGTTTTTTTAATCAAAATTTAGAATGTTCTAAAAAGAAGGAAAATTTTTTAAAAATAATTAAAAAAAAAACTTTGGTCTTTCCTCTTAATAATAACATAAGCATTTAGACAATAAAATTTTGTTTTCGGCAAGGTTGGCGTCTTTTTCATCAAGCTATGCTCTTTTTTTAGCGATTTCGTGGAGGTACCTAATTTAATGTCTCCGGGATAGCCTCGCCTCTTCTTCTTCTTCTTTTTTTTCTTTTTTTTTTTTTACGATTTATTATTTCTTCGAAAAAATTCTGAGAAAAAGACACACGAAGTTAGTAAACAAGATTTAAAACAGTTTCGTGGTACCTAAGTCCTGTCCATTTTATTATCCTACAGTTTGTTATATGATAAAACGATGTCATAAAACATTCGTTTCTATGTGTTCAGGAAGAGCCTAAGAGAATAGGAATCCGACATCCGGACAGAAGGACAATGAACTCACTTCAAGCTGTCGTTAAATGCCGAGTTCTGTGAAAGAACGCCGCAAATATTATTTTGTTTGTCCAGTTCCCTGAGATGAAGTGTCGCGCTTTGACAATTAATAAGCACTAGTTGGAACTTCGGTGTGTTTGGTCAAGCAGATGTGTATCCTGCAGCAAAATCTTTACAAATTCACAGGGATATTTATCTAATGCCAACACAGCGAAAATTATTGAGCATATATATATATATATATATATATATATATATATATATATATATATATATATATATATATATATCGCTGGTCAGCTTGATGCATACACTTTTCGAATAGTATGCGAACATATTGGTTCGGAATAAAAGGTGGTAGCGCGTTCAATACGTGGCGATTGAACACAAGATTTCGTTTAACACTTGACTGGAATTTATGACTACTTTATATACTCGTGTATAAGTCGACTTTTCTCGCATAGTGCGAACCCCTGAATTCTTTCGTAAAAAAAAAAACTGATTTTTTCATATAGTTCGTGTAAGATGCAACCCAAACTTCTGAGCAATACTAGTGGGACTGCCGTAATTCAAATATTGTAGTACTAGACATCGTCCTGGACATATTTTATAGCAAAAAAAAAAAATGGTTTTCATTCTTTTTTTGTTTCAAAGCTTCCCTAAAATGGTGAGAAAAACCCCTTACCGTAAAATATCTGATACGAAGATTTATATTTTTTTTTTAATCAATTCACCCCAAGCAAGGCGGGAGTGCCACTAGCACGCAAGGGGTTACAGAGGATTGAGAGCAAGAGTAAAGAGGCGTGTTTAGGGAAAGGATACAAAAAAAGGACGGAGAACAAGCTCAGGGTGTCAGATTGATATCACACTTGAATATTTCACGATTATAGTCATCGGGGAAGGGGAAGGGAGTTTCACAGACGGGAAGTGCGAGAGACGAAGCTGTTTGAGTAGAAGAGACGGTTACATTTAACCGTTTCGACAGAGGAAGGGTGGGACCGTGATACCAACCTAGTAGCACGCTTAAATTCAAGCAGTCTGGGAACCAGCGAAAGTAGCTTGTCGGAACAGTGAAAATAGTTGCGGAAGAGACAGAGGGAAGCCACGGCACGTCCGTGAGAAAGCAACTGTAGACTAGATGCCAGATCATGACATATTATATTGCATATTCGTTTCTAGGTTTTGTCGAGGATCTCAAGACGTACAGAAGGAGCACTGGACCATATATCACAACAATATGTCATGAAAGGAAAGATGGTTGATTTATAGATTTGAAGGATGGACTCGGGCGAGAAGAACTTAATGGCGCGACACAGAGAACCCACTTTCCTTGCGGTAGATGAAGCTATTGATTCAATGTATTTCTTCCACCTTAGGTCAGCGGACAGCGTGATACAGTACTTCTGTTTACATTCATGCCTGAGTTTCAGTCAGTTATGTGCCATGCGTGATACACGCTTAGGCGATCATCTATCTTTCGATACATGACTGACGAGGCAGATTTTTTTCCGGCTGTAGGTTGCCATTTCTTTCTGCAGTAGATCAGTTGCCATCCAAGGCTATAGAACCCGGTCTGTCCTGCTATTTATCCATAGCTGATGGAGGGGAGAAGAAGAGGATTCATACCTTCCCCAATGGTATTAGCACGTCAGTCAATCATGTGCCATGCGTGATACACGCTTATGCGATCATGTGTCTTTCGATACATGACTGACGAGGCAGATTTTTTTCCGGCTGTAGGTTGCCATTTCTTTCTGCAGTAGATCAGTTGCCATCCAAGGCTATAGAACCCGGTCTGTCCTGCTATTTACCCATAGCTTGGGGGAGAAGAAGAGGAAGATTCATACCTTTCCCAAGGGTATTAGCACGTCAGTCAGTCAGTTATTTGCCATGCGTGATACACGCTGAGGCGATCATGTATCTTTCGATATATGAGTGACGTGGCAGATTTATTTCCCGAAATAAGTTGCCATTTCTTTTTGCGGTAGACCAGTTGCCATCCAAGGCTATAGAACCCGATCTCTCTTGCTATTTACCCATAGTTGGTCGAAGGGAGAAGAAGAGGTTTCATACCTTCCCCAATGGTATTAGCACGTCAGTCAATCATGTGCCATGCGTGATACACGCTTATGCGATCATGTATCTTTCGATACATGACTGACGAGGCAGATTTTTTTCTGGCTGTGGGTTACCATTTCTTTCTGCAGTATATCAGTTGCCATCCAAGGCTATAGAACCCGGTCTGTCCTGCTATTTACCCATAGCTTGGGGGAGAAGAAGAAGAAGATCCATAACTTTCCCAAGGGTATTAGCACGTCTGTCAGTCAGTTATTTGCCATGCGTGATACACGCTGAGGCGATCATGTATCTTTCGATATATGAGTGACGTGGCAGATTTATTTCCCGAAATAGGTTGCCATTTCTTTTTGCGGTAGACCAGTTGCCATCCAAGGCTATAGAACCCGATCTCTCTTGCTATTTACCCATAGTTGGTCGAAGGGAGAAGAAGAGGATTCATACCTTCCCCAATGGTATTAGCACGTCAGTCAATCATGTGCAATGCGTGATACACGCTTATGCGATCATGTATCTTTCGATACATGACTGACGAGGCAGATTTTTTTTCTGGCTGTAGGTTGCCATTTCTTTCTGCAGTAGATCTGTTGCCATCCAAGGCTATAGAACCCGGTCTGCCTTGCTATTTACCCATAGCTGGAGGAATACTGAAGAAGATTCATACCTTTCCCAAGGGTATTAGCACGTCAAGTCAGTCAATTATGTTCCAGGCGTGATACACGCTTAGGCGATCATGTATCTTTCGATACATGACTGACGAGGCAGATTTTTTTTTTTCCGTAGGTTGCCATTTCTTTCTGCGGTAGTCCAGTTGCCATCCAATGCTATAGAAACTGGTCTGCCCTGCTATTTACCCATAACTGGGGCGAAAAGAGGAGAATTCATACGTTTCCCAAGGGTATTAGCACGTAAGTGAATGTAATGCATTCGACTGGAATTCCAACTCGGCTCTCCGATTCCTCAAACCGAGCCGCTTGACTGAAATTTATTATTACGGCATATACTCGTCAGGTTGCTCCTAGTACTACTAGTACTGTGTAGCCTAGTCGGATTATCGGCGACTAAACTGGTTCCCCCACAGAGTTTGTCTGTGAGGAAGGTGGCTAGTCACCCTGCAGGATTAAATACAAGATCTGTCAAAAGGGCAGAGGAAGCCTTTTGCTCAATGGCCATCTAGCACAATTACCTGTGAGTCTTTGACACCACATTTTTTTCCTAGCCATTTTCTAAGAGAATGACACTCTGTAAAACCTCTCAACCCGAGGATTCACTGTCATCATCCCAGCGTGACCGATCGAATCCTGAGTATAAATGGTGGGGCCAGTACAACGTATCTAAAAACTCCACTGCGCATGCTCGAGCGAGACGTTTTCGTTCGCGTCCACCAACCATTTCCAGGCCCAATTCTTGGATCGGAGAGAAAGCCGACGATGACCAGTAGACTGTCCGATTCAACAGACACCATCGGCTTTCCGTTTCGCCCACTGTTATTTATTGGTGTTTCGATCATTCTAGTCCTAAACCTACAGCGTTGGTCATTTAGTCATCAACGCCATCATCCTAAAGGAAGCGATTAGCAAAGAAGGAATTCAATTCTCGGATACGAGAAAGCTGACGGTGATATTTTAAACAAACACAACTTTGTTTTAAAATGAAGTTTTACCGTATTGAAATATCGGAAAACCTTTTAGACAAGAAGAACCTTCCTTTAAAATGAGGCTGTCCCATATGAAAGGTCGGACCTTCACAGTAAAGACAAAAGACTATGTAATTTAAACAAAATGAACCTTAATACGTTAAGTTGACAGCAATTGTTTTCAGGGTCCAGTGTCCCACTTATCCTCTTACAATAACACGCTTTACAAAACACTCCATCATTTCGAATTGTGATGCTTTTGGCATTAAGCTATGACTACATTCCTAAAATTCCTCGCCTTAAACTGGAAAGCCCACGTCTTTGATTATAAATTCTTCCCATGTCTTTGAATTGCCTCCGCTTAGATTTGAAATGCCTCTTCTTCGATTAGAAAAGACTCACCTTATAATCAAAATGCTTCCTCTTAAATTTGAAATATCTGCTCTTCTACCTGAACTATCTCCTTAAATCTTAAATATTTCCCCTTAAATTCAAAATATTGTTCCCTTAGATTTAAAAAGTTTCCCATTAGATTTAAAATATCACTTAGGTTAGAAACGTCACCCTCTAGATTTAAAAGGTGCCCTTTTAGATTTTCAATATCTCCCTTAAGATTAGGAATGTCTCCTTAAATTATAAACGTATGCCCTTGGATTTGATTTGCTCCTTTGAGATCTAAAATTCGCCTTATATTTGAAATGACTCGCCTTATATTCGAAATCTCTTGCCTTATATTTGAAAGTCACGCCTTAAATTTGAAAAGTTTCGCCTTATATTTGAAATGTCTTATATTTGAAATGACTCGCCTTATATTTTTAATATGATTTACGTCTTACTTATAGAGATTCATGCAGAAAAAAAAATAACACATTTACGTCATGTTGATAGTGAATCACAATATTCTTATTTTAAATATGCATTCGTCCATGTCATCAAGTATCGATAAGCTGCCACTATTTAAGACTCTGTAAATATTTTTGTTGCTGCCAACCAATTTTAAGTGTTTATGCTTCTAACTCTAATATCCCTGGCGATTAGCTGCAGGATTTCCTGGTGACAAGTTAATCTGATTCCTGGTAAAAATATCCACAAACTAAAAATTCTTTGACAAGAGGCTTAAACTAATTAATGAGAATCTTAATGAATCAGTGCTGCTTTTAACTGACTCACTCTAGTCGGACACAAGTTCTTTTTTATTATTTTTTTAAAGAGGTTCTTTGCTCTATTCATTGTGGACTGAGAAGAAAAGTGTTGTTGCTAGGAAATTAGACAGCTTGACCTATAGATGAACTTGAACGCTTGCCAAAAAGCAAAGAATTTACCGTTTTTAATCATTTCCACCCCCATCCACCAAGCAAGGCAATAAAACGAGAAGGGGAGAATATGAAAAAATCTATTAATGAGCGAGAACAATAAAAGGACAGGAATTACGAAGACACGGGTGTTAACGGTTGACATTACATTTAAACTTTTTAACATCAACGGTGACTGGAAAGTAAGAAGCCGGAAGAAAGTTCCTCAAGCGAGAAATGCAAGAGAAAGAACTTTCTTTCTATATTTCTGAGATGAGGTATTGTAACTATTTACACTATTTACATTATTCGGGCTTTATCTACACAGAGGTGTGAAGAAATAAAAATAAAATAGGAGCTTAAAAATTTTAAAAAAAGAAGAGAGAAAGATGAAAAAGGAATGAGTTAGTTACTAAATATCGTCACCGAAGTAGATTCAAACTGATCTAGAATATTATTGATCTTGCTTAATCTGTTACCACCTAAAACATATATTGTTATTTCTACTCCTTCTCATTCCTATCAAATACTAACATAGGTGTTTTGGGCTATTATTATTATTATTATCGTTATGATTATTTTTATTATCATTATTATTATTATTATTCTATTTTTATATTATTTTTGTTTGTATTTTTATATGCATTATCTTATTTTAAATAATTATTCTTTATTTAATATTTTAGTATTTTATTTAATTTATAATTTTTTTTATATTTAACTTTACATTTAATATTTAAAATTTATATTTATTAATTAATTTATAATTATATTTAATAATTAATTTATATTTCACTTTTATATTTTTAATATTATTTATTTATTAGTTTATATTTAATAATTATTAATTTGTATTTAATGTATATTTTTTTATTTAATTTCATTTAATAACTTGACTTTACTAATTATTATTTTAATTATTCTATTATATGTATTATTATTTTTATTTGTATATTTACTTATTATTTAATTTTAAATATTACCTTTTTACTTCTCCGTCTTAAAGATTTTTTTAAGATAAAAAAAATCTCTATTTTAATCTCTTTTAAGGAATTTTCCTTATAGATATTAGATATTAATATTTTAAAATATAGGTCAAGGTTATTTTAACAGCCGTCTGAATCCAGACACTCCCCCCTCGTCCACCATAAAGCTATATCATAACGATCTGCTGCGTCTTCTGTAATATTCTCCTTTCTTTCCTTTTTCCTTTTTTTCTTTTACTTTTTCCTCTTTCTCTCGTCTTCTTCTTTCTTTGTTCTTTAAATGTTTAAATTTTTAAGCTACTACATTATTTTAGTTCTTCTCACCTCTGTGTTGACAAAGCCTACATGTAATTTCTTGTAGAGGGAAATAGCTATTCAAATGCGGCCATTTGGGATTTCTATTCTATATAATTTATTCATATATGCTCTGTTATAATAAATACATTGAGCTGTCTCTGTGGATCGGTTTTAATATTTTATATTATTAGATTCACATGGATTATATACCAACGGATTATTACCTATATATATATATATATATATATATATATATATATATATATATATATATACAGGTAATAATCCGTTGGTATATAATCTAAGTGAATTCTTAGGATTCACTTAGAATTATTAGGATTTACTTAGAATTATTAGGATTCGCATCCGAGTGAATCTTCATAATTCTAAGTGAATCTTGATTTATACCAACAGATTATTACCTATATATATATATATATATATATATATATAATAATATATATATATATATATATATATATATATATATATATATATATATATATATATACAGGCAATAACCCGTTGGTATATAATCCAAGTGAACCCTAATAATATAAAATATTAAAACTGATCCACAGAGACATCCCAATGTATTATATATATATATATATATATATATATATATATACAGTGTAACCCGGATATAAGGGACCCGGATATAAGAGAAACCCGGATATAAGAGAGATTTTGTCTGGTCCCAAATTAGAGCCTGTGTTAATGTATATAAAATAGACCAAACCCGGATATAAGAGAAACCCGGATATAAGAGACTTCTTCCCTGTCCCGACAACTCTCTTATATCCGGGTTACACTAAATATATATATATATATATATATATATATATATATATATATATATAAAATGGCTGGCCATTCGTATCCGAAGGTGCCCGTCTAGTAGGGCGGCTAGGCAATCCCTGTTGCAGACCCCTGCTCAGGCACATTTATGTTTATTCGGAACTCACAGAGCCCACCTGTGGTTTATACTGTAACTTTGAGTAGACCTTAGTTACCGGAAGAGATCACGTTACCTAGCGTAATCAACAGACTGAACTGGGCCAGCACGTTCAAACCCTCGGTCCCGATGACTTATGACTTCATGCTAGCACAACCATCGAAGGCACCCAAAAGAGTCCCATCTACCCAATTTCACTCACAAGGCTTGGGATAATTCCTTTTTCATGCACTTTCCAAAGATGATGCACGGTGGGATCGCTTCCCCCGGATCGACAACTTCAAGACTAATCGACCATGGTAAGATTCGAACCCGGGTCTCATGATCAGAAAGCAAACTTCCTAACCACTCGGCCAGAGAGAAAAAGATAGCCTCCTAGAATGCACTCACTCTTTAAATGATAATAAACGACTTGCATTGACGGTTAAGATTAAGAGATATTAATGTTTATTTACGTACAGGCATTAAAGTTTGAATTAGATATTAGATGGATAGAAAAAATCTGAAAAATAATTTTATTTGTTTATCAATGATGCAGTTGGGGAAATTATTGTTGACTAATATTTGTTTTATGTGTTTTATTCTTATAAAAATACACGATACCAGAATTCAAAATTAAGATTAAGAGGTATTAATGTTTATTGACGTACAGACATTAACAGCTTGAATTAGATATTAGATAGATAAAAAAAAATGAAAAATAATTTTATTTGTTTATCAATGATGCAGTTGGGGAAATTATTGTTGACTAATGTTTGTTTTATGTGTTTTATTCCTATAAAAATACACGATACCAGAATTCAAAATTAAGATTAAGAGGTATTAATGTTTATTGACGTACAGGCATTAAAAAGTTGAATTAGATATTAGATGGATAGAAAAAATCTGAAAAATAATTTTATTTGTTTATCAATGATGCAGTTGGGGAAATTATTGTTGACTAATGTTTGTTTTATGTGTTTTATTCTTATAAAATACACGATACCAGAATTCAAAATTAAGATTAAGAGGTATTAATGTTTATTGACGTACAGACATTAACAGCTTGAATTAGATATTAGATAGATAGAAAAAATCTGAAAATAATTTTATTTGTTTATCAATGATGCAGTTAGGGAAATTATTGTTGACTAATGTTTGTTTTATGTGTTTTATTCCTATAAAAAAAACACGATACCAGAATTCAAAATTAAGATTAAGAGGTATTAATGTTTATTGACGTACAGGCATTAAAGTTTGAATTAGATATTAGATGGATAGAAAAAATCTGAAAAATAATTTTATTTGTTTATCAATGATGCAGTTGGGGAAATTATTGTTGACTAATGTTTGTTTTATGTGTTTTATTCTTATAAAAATACACGATACCAGAATTCAAAATTAAGATTAAGAGGTATTAATGTTTATTGACGTACAGACATTAACAGCTTGAATTAGATATTAGATAGATAGAAAAAAATCTGAAAAATAATTTTATTTGTTTATCAATGATGCAGTTGGGGAAATTATTGTTGACTAATGTTTGTTTTATGTGTTTTATTCCTATAAAAATACACGATACCAGAATTCAAAATTAAGATTAAGAGGTATTAATGTTTATTGACGTACAGGCATTAAAGTTTGAATTAGATATTAGATGGATAGAAAAAATCTGAAAAATAATTTTATTTGTTTATCAATGATGCAGTTGGGGAAATTATTGTTGACTAATGTTTGTTTTATGTGTTTTATTCTTATAAAAATACACGATACCAGAATTCAAAATTAAGATTAAGAGGTATTAATGTTTATTGACGTACAGACATTAACAGCTTGAATTAGATATTAGATAGATAGAAAAAATCTGAAAAAATAATTTTATTTGTTTATCAATGATGCAGTTGGGAAATTATTGTTGACTAATGTTTGTTTTATGTGTTTTATTCTTATAAAAATACACGATACCAGAATTCAAAATTAAGATTAAGAGATATTAATGTTTATTGACTTACAGGCATTAAAGTTTTAATTAGATATTAGATGGATAGAAAAATCTGAAAACTAATTTTTTTTGTTCACCAATGATGCAGTTAGGGAAATTATTGTTGACTAATGTTTGTTTTATGTGTTTTATTCTTATAAAAATACACGATACCAGAATTCAAATTTAAGATTAAGAGGTATTAATGTTTATTGACGCACAGACGTTAACAGTTTCAATTAGATATTAGATGGATAGAAAAAATCTGAAAAATAATTTTATTTGTTTATCAATGATGCAGTTGGGGAAATTATTGTTGACTAATGTTTGTTTTATGTGTTTTATTCTTATAAAAATACAAATACCAGAATTCAAAATACTACAGAACATCAGCTAATTTTGATGCAGCCAGCTGCACAATAATTATAGGCAGGAAGAATTCGCTATACGAATAATCATTAAACGCCATATTTCAACAGTGTATATAAAAAAGAAAAATAATAATATTTGTGTATGTGCAGGTTTTTCTACTGGGTTAAATGTGTGTCTACTACCTCACACATATTTGTTAACATCCCCAGAAGAAATTTTTACCAACTTAAATGGTGAAAGACCTTTCAGATGCATATATACAAATTGAAATGAATCAAAAATGTAAAAATTTGGTAACAATTAACATACCTAAGGGTTTATACAGTTTTACTAGGTTACTATTTGGGATCAAAGTGGCACCTAGCATTTCCAGCAAGTAATGGATATGATGCTAGCTGGCTTAGATTTTGCCGTTGTATATTTGGACGAAACTAGGTAGCAGCATTCAGAACACTTTCAGCAATTATTCCAAAGAATTGATTAATACTCAGTGAGGAGAAATGCCAATCAGAAGTAATATACATTACTTGGGACAAATAATTGATGCAAATTGGTGTAGACTAGACTCATCAAGGATGAGTGCTATTAAAAATATGCCTGCTCCGACAAAAGTTGCTACTTTAAAATCAATTCTAAGGCTTGCAAACTATTACAATCTTTATATATCAAATATGCATAAATTTAGAGCACCATTAAATGAATTGTTGAAGAAAGATAAGTGTGGAATTGGTCTGATGAATGACGAAAATCTTTTGAAGGCATAAAGAACACGTTATCATCTGAATAATGCATTGGTTTTTCAGGTAAAATGTAATTACTATATTTTTCATGCTATGATGGACACAATTTTCTAAACAGTTAACATTCCCCAAAAAATATATTAATCTTATAATATATAACAAAACATTTCAAACTGCAAACCTTGTTGTCACTTATCAAGATAACGACATCAAATCAAAACTAGAGATATCCAATATATTCCATTAAATTCACTGACCTGTACCAGGTACTTCATACTCTACCCTTAGTAAATAGCTATCTATCTCTCAATAGCAGATGGTCTTCGATATCAGAAGTTGGCAGTGAATATTCGGAGACAGTAGCAGCTGTTAAGTAATTCTTGATGTCTTCGATATCAGAGGTTGGCAGTGATGATATTTTTGAAGAAAAAACAAAATGGCTGCCTTTATAAACGTCGGATTGAATATTTTGAGCTTTCTGGTTGTTAACTCTCCTCTTGGTGGACTATAAAATGAGTCAGCTCATTTGGTCGGCTCACTAGCACAAACCTACCCCAAAATTCCAACAATGTTCGTATCTATCTGTTCATTATATATCTATCAGTCTGTTCATTATCTATCTATCTCTCTATCTATTTCTGATCATTAACTATCTATCTACATCAGTCTGTTCATTATCCATTTATCAGTCTGTTCATTAACTATCTATCTACCTCAGTCTGTTTATTATCTATCAGTCTGTTCATTAACTATCTATCTACATCAGTCTGTTCATTATCCATGTATCAGTCTGTTCATTAACTATCTATCTACCTCAGTCCGTTCATTATCTATTTACCTCAGTCTGTTCATTATCTATCTATCAGTCTGTTCATTAACTATCAGTCTGTTCATTATCTATATGTCTATCTATCTCTGTTCATGAACTAGCTAGCTATCCCATTCTATTCATTATCTATCTGCGTTATCTATCTATCTATCTACCTCTGATCATTAACTATCTATCTATCTCAGTTTGTTCATTATCTATCTATCTATCTATATATCTATCTATCTATCTCAGCCTGTTCTTGTCAAAAATCAATTACTTATATCAGACATACTACCGCTCCCTTGAACAAACGCCTCCCGTGTCACTTATCAGATCAAAATACTATAAAAAAAAATAAATAAATAAAAAACTTTTATCTATCTACAATTTACAAGAACTCTTAAAAAAGTTCTGGTCGAAAACACAAAAATTCTAGAAAGCACCTAAATTCCTCTTCCCAAAGAATATTTCTGAGTGATCTAAAACACGTCAAACAAACATCAGTCAACAACAATTTTCCAAACAACATCATTGATAACCAAATGAAATTATTCTGACAAAACATACACGTCACCAATAATAAAAAATATCACACAACAAAACATCCGCATATTTTACGATAGCCGAATGTAAAATAATTATAAGCAGGACGAATTCACTATACAAAGAATCATTAAACAAAATATTTCTGCTGTAATTTTCAAAAAAACATGTAAAAATTTTATTACAGAAAATGAAAAACTGCATGCCTTGTAATTAATAATCAAAATAACTCCATTAAATCTAAAATGGCGATGACCAATATAGCGTATCAATGTTACTGCCCAGTAGAGGACTGTGTTTCTTGTCATAAATCAATTACCTATATGGACATACGACCACCTCTTTAAGTACACGCCTCACATGTCATTTATCAGAGCAAAGCTCTATGAAAAATCATTTATCAACCGCTAATCTACAAGATCCCTTAAGAAAGAGAGTCCGTTGTAAATCAAATTTCCGAAAATACCTCGTTATAAGAAAGACCCTGTACATCAAGCAACACTTCCCCCATCATCAACCTTATCTTGTTTAACAATGGTAACGGAATGCTGAAAGTCTTTTAAAAAATACAAAGTCGCCCACTCGAATTCCAGCCATGCCCAACACACCATCGCTGCTACTCTAAATCACAAATAATAAATTCTTCTAGTCGCTGACGACATTTTGTTTGGTGTTTATATATAGTCTGTTTCAATAAATTCATTTCATTTTTGCCTTGGAAAAGTCCACACTGGACGAAAGGCGTCGGATAAAACTAAAGAGTTCCTATTGTCTTCTTTTCTTTATACATATTGTCTTTTTCTACAGATTAATTTTGGGAAATTTTTGCATGCATATATATATATATATATATATTGGGTTGTAGATTAATATTCTTTCGTTTTTATTATTATTTCATTTAGATTCCTCGACTAGTTTCGGCCAAAATGGCCATCATCTAGAGAAGAAATATTTCTGCTTGCTGGTAGCAGTAAACTACAGAAATTAATGTCTTGATGGAGAAAATGAACTTTTGTCTGTAGTTTTCATTTGTTTTTTTAATTTTTTTTATCTTTTTAACATGAATCTTTTAACATTCCTTGTATTGGTCAAACAGTCTCTTTTAAGTTGTTATTTGAGATAAGAGCTGGACAGATACATGTTGCTCTGAATTCCCGTGGCCAGTTTGACAGTTTTATTGGTCCTGGAGAGGGGATGTGTCTCTGTTAAGTGTTTGTGTGTGTGTTATTGATTCTTAGGGAGTGAGTGAGTATGATATGTGTAAGCATGTATATTGCTGTGGGTGTGTGTTATCATTTGGCTCATTAGGGAGTGAGTGAGTATGATGTGTGTAAGTGTGTATATTTTATTGTATAAGTGTGAGGCCTCAACACCTCCGTAAGCATGTCTGTCTTGTGTGGGTGAGAAATGTGGGTAGGTTTTGATTTGTTGAGTTATATATTAATACTATCTATATTGTTAAATTTATGGCTTAGCCCGGCTGGATAGTGTGTTTTTAAACATTGTATCCACTTATTTTCATGGAACTCTAAAATCTTTCTAATGTTATCTGCTCTGAACTTTTCTATTCTCTCAATTATAGTGAAATTGGCATGGGTTTTGAAATCGTCTTTTTCCAGGCGGAAATGTTGTTCTACAGGTAATAATTTTTCATGGGAAGTCGACTTAATTCGATTGCGATAATTACTAATTCTGTACTGAAAGGGCCATTCAGATTTTCCTACATATTGTTTCTGGCATAGTGTGCATTCTAGGAGATAAATTATGTTATGACTTCTACAGTTAGAATCGTGGTAGATTTTGAAAGTAGATTTAATGACTGAGCTAGTGAATGAATTGGTGTGCTTAATATGGTTGCTGCATAAACTTCTTTTGTTGTTACATGGTTAGGAAAATCCTGTTGTTTTTGTTGTTAGTTTATTACGGATTACCTTGTCCCCTGAAATGTGGTTACTACCTATGATTTCTTTTAGGTTCTTAGGTCTACGATATGCAAGAAGGCCAGGTTCCTTAAACAATTTTTTTTAGGTCTGGTTTGAGTATTTCCCAGCGACTTTTGATTATTTGGGATAGTGGAGGCAGAGTGGGGTTGAAAGTGGTTACTATAGGAATGCGGCTAGATTTATTTTTAATCTTGTACATTAGGGTGTCTTCTCTAGGTGTGGAAATTGCTTTATTTATTTGTTCCCTGATTAGGTGTTGTTTATAGCCACGTGTTGTGAATTGATGCTTCAGATTTTCAATGTGTTTAATATATATATATATATATAGTGGGGAAGAAATACAATTGTCAGTTTTCATTTTACTTCGAAAACGTTAAACGCCCAGTTTTAATTTCTATCAGAGTAATAGTAATTACAGCAACATAATGCTTCTCCCGTTGTTGCGGGATGACAGGTCCCCTTTCTTCGCCAACTTCCTGCTGGTGGTCGACTGTATAATGCGGCAGGCTACGGCAAGCAGGAGAACTGGCTTAAAATGTCCGTGTCATGGGAGGCTACGGATGCCGTACTTGGTGAGTCACAAACTCGCCTCGAGGCTGGCTTTCCTACGTCACCCTTTGGCGGTTGGTGCTCATTTTTGGCGGGGAACGTAAGGGTTGCCATCCCTTGCCTTATTATCACTCCTCCCGTCTCGAGGGCTGAGTTTCCTTCTTGAGTGTCGATCGGCCTTGAGGGTCATTTCTCTGTCCAGTGACCTTTCTCATCCTAGGAGAGTCATCTATCCTGAACTAATGGAGGGGGTTTCGAAGGATCCACTACGCGCCTGGCACGCATCATGGCTCTCCACAACTTCCTATACGTTGTAGCTCTAAGTAATATTTGTCTCCTTACTATCCCTCCAAGGCCCTGTTCTGCTATCCATTTAAACAAGTTCATTAAGTAGGTTGATCATGGCTCTCCACAACTTCCTATACGTTGTAGCTCTAAGTAATATTTATCTTCTTACAGTCATATAGGACATAAATGAATAGATCACCCGTTTATGTAAATAAGCAAAGTTGAGGAGAGTTTAGCATTAAGTCAATTGGTAAGTCTACCTTCGTGTCATAAAAACCTTCTAATTTTATTACTTATCTATGAACTAGTCTCCCTTGTTTATATTCCTCTATTATCACGAAAACACGAAATACAATAAAAAATGAATAACCAAAAACGTTAAGGACGAAAAGATTTAATCTCGCTTTCGGATCAGTCATTACTAAGGAGATAATGGGATATTCCAAGACATGGGGAAAATCTACTCATGTAGATTAATAAAGGGCTCAGTTCGGAATTCTTTGAAAGCTAACTGATGAAGGCCGGATGGCACAACGGCCAAAATGTTGTGATAACAACAACAAAAATGGAAACACTCTTAGTCCTACTCATCCCAATAATGCAAACAGAAACAGTCTTGGTCGAACTTAGCACTCATATCAGCATCGAATCGTAGTTTTCATTAGTCCTGTTAGGCAACGAATGCGGTGAAGTTTCGTGTAGCCAAATGGTTCAGAGCACAGAAAATTAAACCGGCGTTAATGTTTATTTTGAACTTGGCCTTTGAGAAAAGCATCAATACGTCTCTTCTCCCCAGAAATATGGGTAAAATAGCAGCCATGATTGGGTTTTCTATCCTCAGGTGGCGACAAGGAACAAGGACAAGTGAAGGCCAACTGAATTGAAAGTGGATGTGATCAGGCGGTCGAATAATAAACCGGCATTCTCATCCCACTTCAGTTAAGATAAAACTCCTCAAAACACGGATGAACATCAAGGAAAAACAACCAGTTAATTAGGGATTGTGTCTCGATAAAAACACAGTAGAGAAGTCAGTGATAACTCTCTGTCTCTCTCACATCTTTCTCTCTCTCTCTCTCTCTCTCTCTCTCTCTCTCTCTCTCTCTCTCTTAAGAATAATCATGGTAATACAAAATTGTAGGACTTTGTAGAGAGAGACAAAGAGAAACAGAGAGAAAGAGAGTCTTATGAATTTATAGTTACAAATTCATCTTGTTATCTTCTCCATGATAGTCACAGTGTTGATACCAAACAAACAACTGGATCGGCCACGTGAGACAAGATGGCGGGGTAGAAGAAAAAAAACAGATACAATTACAATTATTTTGTTTTATATACAAAAAAAAACAACACACTTGACAGCAACCGTTTCATGTTTCACGTGGGCGAGAGACAATGCTCTAACTTCAAAAGCCACCAGTACAATGCCATAAAATTTGATACAATGTAAAGCAAATGAACTCAACAGACCTTTTGTATAATGTATTAAGTGGCCGCTCTCTGAGGACTAGAGATATTTATACCATTAAAATTAGTTGCTGGAATATGCCCTTCTTTTGAAAGTTCGCAAATAGCCTAGATTATGTAAGTTTATGGCTCAAACAGAAATCCTATATCCTTAAATAACTTCAAGGACTACCTTAATGTAAAGATAAGGATAAACCAATTTGAACTTTGAATGTGCGATATTTACTCAGTCTTTCTTTGTAAAAGCACAAAGGAGAAATGTTTATAGTGTAGTTCAGTTGATCCCGGTTAGCTAGGATTTTACAAATCCTCCTGGATGAACTATAGCCGGCAGCAAAGCCTCTGATCATGAAATTGGAGGTTTTGAGGAGTGTGGAACTACCTCCTAATTTCTGGTGTTCCCAGGTCCACCCTGACCTGACACAATCGGCGGCCTGACGATTGCGTCTAACCTGTCGCCTCTGAGTGTTGACTTCAATGTTCTCTTTCATATAAATATATATATATATATATATATATATATATATATATATATATATATATATTATAATAGACTAGCCTTCAACAAACCCCCACAATCTTAGGCGTGGCAAAGACCGGCCCCAAATATCAGACCTCTTCAGTAATATAATACACCGGGAAACTTGTATAGAACAAATTCCCCTGGAACAGAATATCTCACCACATTTTTTTTTATTTCTCGTCTCGTTGTCAAAGGACACAGGCGTGTCCGAAAATTCCAATTTAGAAAATCTCTTATCATGCTTCCATTTGGTCAAAAGACTGGCTAATATATAAGGTAGTCCGAAAGTTTTATCTCCTCGCCCCTACCAGTATCGTCCTCTTCGAAAGAGTTGGTTTACTGAACTTTGCAGTGAAGTTATGTTGCACGTCAGCTATGCTCTTGCCAAAGTGCACACGATCATCTGACCATACACTTGCAAGCAGCTTCTCTTCCAAGACTATCGGACCGACCCGTACAACAAATATTATTAATTTTATTCTCAATATTATTATTATTGTTGTATATTTACGTCCCGAATTTCTTTCACCTGCCCATTATATATATATATATATATATATATATATATATATATATATATATATATATGTATGTATGTATGTATGTATTTATATATGAAGAAATATAGTTTTAAGGTGTGCTATATTTATGGGATAAAGTGCTCAATATCAGAGATAGAGCGTATATAAATATAAATATAAAAGTTAACATTAAAACAGCCTGTCGCCTCTGTGTGTTGACATCAATGTTCACTTTTATGTATATATATATATATATATATATATATATATATTTTTAATAAAAGACAGACCACGTTAAGATTCCATGTAATAAGCTATTTCACCATAACCCCTTTAACAGGGTTCTGGATCATCAGACTTTTACTTCCAAAAGCTGAAATGAAGAATGAAAAAGAAAATTCACAGGTTTTTACGGACCTCATCAAGTATACGCAAAAAGTTAACGAAGTGAGGAAGTGAGGGATATATATATATATATATATATATATATATATATATATATATATATATATATATATAGTTATATACCGTACTCAAAAATACGTTGGACACTATTGTAAGTGGGTGTAATATGCTAAATGGTCCACCACTAGCCGTTGTTTACCTACTTCACGCCGCTGGCGAGCATTGTATTTTGTTGATGTTATAACGATTACTATTTCATTTCCAACATTCGTTTTGGTTATTCTTCATTCATTAAGCCCTCCTAGGTTACAGCACACACACACACACACACACACACACATCGAAGGGCTAACCGCCCTTCAGGAAGCACTTACTAAAAGAAGGAAACAAGCGAGAAGTCATCATAAAACTCATGGAGCATGTCCTTACATTGAATACTTTCAACTTCAATGGAGCACACTACCTTCAAATAAGAGGTTGTGCCATGGGCACAATATTCATGGGAAAATTTGAGGAGACCCATATCTATCCAATCATTGGTAGCGACTGCGTATTCTATACAAGATAAATCGATTATATATTCTTTGTATACACGGGTAGTGATGACAAACTTACCAATTCCTCATGACCCTAAACACAGTGCACGACTCAATTAAGTTTGACTATGAAAAATCCACAACATCAGTAACATTTTTAGACACCCGCATTTACATAGATGAAAACAGGAAACTACAAACGACACTACACGCTAAAATCACCGACACCCACAACTATCTTCCCACCCTAAACACCTCAAAGAGAACCTTCCCTATTCACAAGCACTTAGACTCAGAAGGATATGTTCCAACAATGAAGAATTAAATAAACACATTGAAAATCTGGAGCATCAATTCACAACACGTGGCTATAAACAACACCTAATCAGGGAACAAATAAATAAAAGCAATTTCCACACCTAGAGAAGACACCCTAATGTACAAGATTATATATATATATATATATATATATATATATATATATATATATATATATATATATTTTATACCCTAACCCCTAAATAAAATGGACTGCTCTACTATCATTATACTACGGTATATATATATATCAATATTTAAACTATGCAACGGTCAGTTTTCAGTCAGCACCTGACAATTGCACTGTGCATGAAATCCAGAGTTGTGGTACTGGTGGGTAATGAGAGGACAAAACGCGTCGACTAAGAATGGTTTTTCCTCTTGTCTTTTCATTCTGTTCCTTTGCAGATAGTCTATCTGAAAATAAGTTACACACACAAACCTATATATAAATAAAAAGAACAACAATCAGATTAATAATCCACAGTTTTTTAGCATTTATTTTTTTTAAAGTGCTCGATTCAAAGTAAAGCATAAAATTATAATGTTATTATTTAAAAATGTTTTCATCGCAGCACACTAGAATTATATTTAAGAGTTTAACTTGAAGGGGGAAGATTTAACTTAAACTCTTAAATATAATTCTACTTTGTTTGAAAAAGTAAATCAATTTTTTCTGAAGTTATTCAACATCGCTTGAAAATGGGACAAAAATTTTAATTTTAATTTTTACTTCCGAAACATAGTAATTTCTTTCTGGGTCGTGATGAGAACATATTTTTAAATTTTATATATATATATATATATATATATATATATATATATATATATATATATATATATATTTTTTAAAGAAAAACAGACCACTTTAAGGTACCATTATAATAATTTATTTCACCAGAGCCCTTTTAAAGGACGCCGGATTATCAGATAGCACTTCCAAAAAAAATGAAACGAGAAATGAAATGAAAACTTTAAGGTTACATCCTCCTTGGGATTACCCATAAGGATTACCAAGTTTCTCATAACTTATATATATATATATATATATATATATATATATATATATATATATATATATATATTTCTTTCCCCAAGAAAGGCAATAAAAGCCAGTAAGAATCAAAGGATTAATGAAAGGGGATGAAACATAGCACAATGAAAGAACAGGATTCAACCAGACAGGAGATGACGATTGAGGATATATTTTTAAATTATGGAAGATCAGAGTTGAACAAGAACGTAAGAAGACAGAAGAGAGTTCCACAAGCGAGAAGTGCGAGAGAAAAAAAATTAGCGTCTTTTTACAAGGCATCTATATTCATATTGAATTATTTATCAGTCCTTAATATGTCTATTTAGTGTTTCCCCGGCAGAAACCAGAGACGCACGCAAAAAACAAATTCGATTCAACCATCAAAGTAAGCAAGAGCTTTCGACAGAGTAAAAAATTATTATGCCTATTTTCGAAGTGAAAGGGTCTGCTTGACTTGAAAATCTGTATTCTTCTTTGCTTATATTTTCTTCTTTCTTTCTTGCCTTTTTCTTTTTAAAAATCTGGATTTTTTTAATCATTCCGCCCCAAGCAAGGTACTAAAGCCACTAAGACACAAGAGGTTACTGGATGTGAAAGAATTAGAAAACAGAAATATTACTAAGGAACAAGAACATTAAAAGAGTAATCAGGAAGACAGTACATAACGATTGACATTGCATTTAAATTTTTGAAGATTAAAGTTAGCTAGAAAGCATGGGGCAAGAGGAGAGGCCCACAAGCGAGAAGTGCCAAGAAGATACTGTCAGCATAGAACTTGCGGTTACATGTAGCTATTTCAACTGAAAAAGGGATGAGACCTTGCTGCCAATCTAGTATTACGGTTAAATTCACAAAGTCTTGGTAGAAGACACGTAAAGAAGACAGAAGATAACGATCGACATTTCATTTCCATTTTCGAAGACCAAACTTAACTGGGAAGCAAGAAACCGGAAGAGATTTCCACCTGTGAGAAGTGCGAGAGAAGAAACTGTTAGCATAGAACTTACGGTTACATCTAGCCATTTCTACTGTAAAATGATGAGACCTTAGCGCCAATCTAGTACTGCTCTTAAATTCATTAAGTCTAGGTACCATAACGAATATCTTATCTGGACAGTTACCATGGAAGTATTTATAGAAAAGGCACAGGGACGCATCCTTATGGGAATGTGACTGAAGCCGTGATGCCAGATCAGGACCAATAATATTGCTGATTCTTCTTTGGATTTTATCAAGAATCTCTAAATATAGAGCAGGAACACCAGTCCATATGTGGTAGCAATATAATAAGCACGGACGAATTGTAGACTTATAGATATTTAAGATAGATTCCAGAGATAAAAATTGTGTAGCAGGCAGCCAACTTTTTTAACAGCAAGCCTTGCAATTGATGCAATATAATCTTTTGTCTTCAAGTCAGCCGAGAATTTTAACCCGAAAAAGAACAATGAATCACTCTCCTGGAGGTAATCAATCAGCCAAGGGACATCTAAATGTTTCAGCTACATTATCGGAAGCCTCAAAATCAATCAGGGCAAGGAGGGACTTCTCAGGTGTTTAATAGAGAGCAGTTTTGCGTTGGGGAAGTTAAAATTAACAAGCCATTCTTTGCCCCAGTTAACAACAGACTCTAGATGATTTTCTTTTTCTTTCTTTTTCTTTTTTTTTTTTTTAGATCAGCTGACTTTATCGGACTAATCAGACTTATTATCCTTTATTATGCTCTCGTCATTTCCGTTCTTTCTTTCCTTTTTTTTATTTCTTTTTCTCTTTATTTTATTTGCTATTATCTTGCTTTCTTTCATGCTTACTAACTCTCATTGTATCTCTTTTCTTTCTTTCTTTATTCCTTTCTTCGATCTTTCCTATTTTTGTTAACTTCTCAACTTTCTTTATATCTTTCTTTTTTTTTTCTTTATTTATTTCTTCCATTTTTGACCGTCTTTCTTTCTTGTTACCTTGTTGGTTTCTTGGTTTCTTTCCTTTTTTTTATTTCACTTGCCTCTTCTATTCCGTTTTCCTTCATCCATTCTTTCTTTATTTATTTCTTTTTTTTTTTTTTTGTCTGTTTTTCTCATAAATCCGCTTTCTTTATCATTCCTTCATTTTGTTTTTTTCACTTTTTCCTTCATTCTTTCTTTATTGTTTGCGCGCTTTCATGTTTTCGAGCTGTTTTTCTTCATTTCACCCTCGCATTTTTTATTCTTTCTTTCTTTTTTTCATTCATTCTTTCTTTCTTTCTTTCTTTCTTTCTCCGCTTCAACTCTCTGTCAATCTCCTTTCTTACTCATTTCTTCCCACTCTCTATATTTTCTTGTTTCTCTTTTATTTCCAGTCTTTCCTCCACATCAACGCCCTTCTTTCTTTTCCGTCTTTATTTGCAACCTTTTCGTATTCCCTTTTGTTTTTGTTATTTTTAAAAATGCCTCCCCGTCCGCCACATCGTTTTTCTCCATTTTTTCCAATTTTTTCTTTCACTGTACTTTTTTGTACATCTTCTTTTTTCCTTCTTGCCCACTGTCTTTCATTCTGTCCTCCCATCCCGCCTACTTTCCTCCTCGTTGTTTTCTTTCCTTTTCTCCTCACTGATTTTTCTTTTCTTTCCTCCTCACTGTATTTCTTTTCTTTCCTCCTCGCTGTTTCACTGATTTAGTAAACCTTAATTTTTTATATAAACCTAGTAATATATTGTTCCTCATGTAAGTACAAAGCACTTGAGTCATTCAATGGCTTACATCTTCTAGCTTTTCATATTAATTTCATTTTACTGTAGGTGTTTTATTGGATTCTTTTAAGTGCTTGTAGTACTTAGAGGGAGGTCTTTAGGTTAGAATACGTTTTATTTAATTACAATTTTAAAAGATGTTTAGGTTAGAATTCGTTTTATTTAACTACAATTTTAAACATCTTTTAAAATTGTAATTTAATAAATACATAGTTACTCCAAAATTCGCTTGAGAATGAAATGGAACTTATGTCTTTAATTTAATTACAAAATTAAATTCGGAGCTTTCAGCTTCCATTTTTGAAACATGGTAAGAACTGTGTAGCGAAAAAAAACATTTTAAATCAATTAATTTGTAATATTAATGCTCTGTAAATTTACATTGAGCAGTATTTTGTAAAATAAAATATCTATAAGAACACCGGATTATATATCTTACTGTTCTTTCTTTATATATATATATATATATATATATATATATATATATATATATATATATATATATATATAACTGTAGTCGGCTGTCAAATTCACTTATAATTCACCATTCAAATTTCAATCGGTGGAAATTTTAGCTAATTCCGTTCAGAAGTAATTTTCGACGCTATAAAGTCACAATAATAAGGTTGTTTCTTTTTTCTTATTTTAATCAATTCACTTCAAGCAAGGCGATAATGTCCCTAAGATTCAAGAGGCTACCGGGAGTTTAAGAGAGTGAAAAAGATTTTAGAAAGTACTGTCAACACAATTCTAAACAGAGAACAAGGGACAAAGATCTACACCTGTTTAACAAAAAGAAAATCGGGAAGACGTGTGAACTTGGCGATACACGAACCAATTTGATCCTAATGTGGAAAAAAAAAATAAGTAAAAATAAAATTACAATGATTAGGCGAACATGTTAGAAGTATAGAGTTGAAGTAGACTTTAGAAGGAACCGGAAACCCAATCCTAAACAGGAAACAAGGGATAAGTCTCTACTCTTGTTCAAAAGACCGAGGAGAAGTGTGAAGCGGGTAAAACACGAACCTACTCCAGTTGGCGCACCCCTTTTCCTAACGTATTCGATTACTAACAATATTTATTATCCACGGGGTAAAAAAAAAAAAAAAAAAAAAAACGCTACACAGACAGCATTGTGCAAATTCAGAAGAAAACTGAAATTACTATTAAAAAATTAAGATCAATAAAAACAAAAAATATACAGGGTGACCCCAAAAAACGGGAACTTTTAACAATCCAATAAAACCAAGAGTGATGGAAGAAAAATATTTGATTCATAGTAATTGAAACCTAAAAACATGCCATTTAAGAAACAATGATGGAATTTTCATTTTTTTTAAATTACGTCCTGTAGATGGTGTCCTCCTGTACGAATGCATTCTTGAAATCTGCTGTTGAGATTCCTCATTGACTGCTGCAACATCTCAGCTGGGATACTGTGAATTTCATCTTGAATTCTAAATGGCGAAATGTTTACTTGCTCAAGATCACTGTCTCGCATTGTTGCTCATGTCTGGCAATACGCACTTCAAAAATTCCCGTTTTTTTTAGTCACCCTGTATAATTAACCATTCACTGTAAAAAGAGGAAATCAATGGTTGTCAGCAAAAGGGCCATCCAAAATTGGAACTACATATCGGGAACGTCAAGATCAATCATTTGCGGAAATGTAACAATCTCGATTATATAATGACAGACAACTAAAAAGAATTGAACGATGTATTAAGAATGGAGAATATCCTTAGACGCAAAGAAAAGATGCCTGATCTTCTCTATAGCACTGAATACTAGACAATCTCTTCGTAGATGAAGAGATGACTTGAAGCCACAGAGATGTGGTTCTAGAAAGTTTAGGCAAAGACCCTAGAAGTATAGAGTTGAAGTTGACTTTAAAAAAGATCCGGAAACCCGATCCTAAAAAATGAAACAATATATAAACCTCTATTCCTGTTCAAAGGACCGGGGAGGAGTTTGAACCAGACGATAGGCAAACGTATCTGCTCCTATTTTTTAATTTAAAAAATTTTTATTTTTTTTTCAGTCGATACGAACTGGATAAACATTTAGCTTATATAAATTCTAAAATATCAGGATTTATTATCCGCGGACGGGAAAACAAATGCTACGCAGACAACTCTATGCTGCTTGCAGATTCAGAAGAAAAAAACTGAAATTACTATTTTTAAAAAAAATAATATCGCTGAAAACAAAGCGAAAAGAACAAACCATTAGTTGTAAAGAGAGGAAATCCACAATTTGGACTACATATCGGCAACGTTAAGATCAACCAATTTAACAATATGGATTATATAATGACAGACAACGGAAAGGAATCGAACAATGTATTAAGAAATGGTGAATATCCTTAAAAACAAAGAAAAGATGTCTGATCTTCTCTATAGCAGTGAATGCTAGATAATCTCTTCGTAGATGAAGAAATGCCTTGAAGAGACAGAGATGTGGTTCTATCAAGTTTAGGCAGCGACGTCAAATGTATAAAGTTGAAGTAGACTTTAGACGGAACCAGAAAGCCAATCCTAAACAAGAAAACAAGGGATAAACATCTACTCTTGTACAAAAGACCGGGGAGAAGTGTGAACTGGACGATAGGCGAACCCATCTACTCCTATTGACGAAATTAGTTTTTTAAATAAATAAAAAATAAAAATAAATAATAAATAAAATTTCAGAGTTCAGGCGAAGACCGCAGAAGTATTGACTTTAGAAGGAACCGGAAAGCCAATCCTAAACCGGAAACAAGGGATAAACCTCTACTCCTGTTCAAAAGACCGAGAAGGAGCCAGAACCGTACGATAGGCGAAACTATTTACTCCTGCTTCCTAACATATTTCGCCTTACGAACAGGTTTTATTATCCACTGTTGCGACAACAAACACTACACAGACAACATTATGCAGATTCAGAAGAAAAACTGAAATTACAATTAAAAAAAATGATATCGATGAAAAGAAAAAAAATATATAATGAACCATTAAATATAAAAAGAGGAAATCCGTGGTAGTTAGTAAAAGGGGCATCTAAAAATTTGAGCTACATATCGGGAACGTCAACGTCAAAATCAAGCATGTGCGGCAATTTAACGATCTGGTTTATATAATAAGAGACAACGGAAAGGAATCGAACAAGATATTAAGGATGGAGAATATCCTTAGAAACAAAGAAAAGATGTCTGATCTTCTCTATAGCAGTGAATACTAGACAATCTCTTCATAGATGAAGAAATGGCTTGAAGAGACCCAGAGAGTAAGACGTCGGAGGTTGAGGGGCTGGGGTGAAACGCGTTAGAACATCCATGTTTGCTGCATCTGGTATTCCCAAACGGTCAGCTATCCAGGCTTGACGTTGCTTAACTTCGGTGATCGTACGGGAACCGTTGTTTCTGCGTGATTTGGCCATAAGACGGAAAGGATGTTATGAGAACTTAAAACTTACATAGTACAGTGGCGGTCAAAACAGAAGGCGGGGAGCGAGAAACTTAATTCAACTTTACGCAGACGAAGATAAATAATGGACAGATGAAATCAATTTATGTTATTAAAAGAAACTTTAAGGAGTCTAACACTTCCGCCCCGGCCCCTCAACCTCCGACGTCTTACTCTCGGGGTTGAGGTGTCTACTTGGTTCTAACCGAACTTAAGGAAGTGGCCATAGGTCCCCTGAGCATCCGTAGATTATTTGACCGGTCTGCTGGTTTAATTCTGCTTCCTGCCCACGTTGTGTTTGGTTTGATCCAGAAAGCAGAAGTGATGCCCGTCCATTCACGGTCGACTGAAGATGTAGACACAGCTGGGGAGTTTGCGCTAAGAAATTTAGAATGGAGCAAAAAAAAAAATTAATATTTGCAGAAAGCCGGACAAACATCGATTCAATGGTTGAATTTTTAATGTCTTTTATATAGCAGAAAAGGATAGTAGAGAAGAGAAACGGGTTACAGGAAAGAAAAGAATTTAACGTAAAAACTCATACACTGGATTCTAGACAGAGAGAGAGGATATGTGATTATCTTGTTATTAAATCGTCTCAGGAACGATATATGACTCTTGTGATGGAGGGATAAAGATTTCTGTGCGGGGCTTAAAGTTATAGTGGCGTTCCTCCTCCCAAAAATCGCCCGGGCCAATTCTCTCTTCTCTCTTCAAGAATTTTCTCCCGTCTGTCTTTTTCAGCATAACTACGCATTTATATAGATAAACCCGGCTGGTTATAACTGACCCTCGGCCCTACTACTTCGCATGCGATTATCACGGGGTTCTGGCTGCTTCAACCAAAATCGTGTGAATTCCAAAGTTCCTTCTAGCTTACTCAGCTCTATTTCAAGTTTTAATCGATAAAAATTATTTCGACCATTTGCATTGTCTCCTGATGACCTAGATTCAATGGGTACAACTTCTGCCCTAGATCAGATTTCCCCATGAGTAAACAAAATGCTCTGATTTAATTTCACTATTCAAATCTACTCCAATTTCACTAAAAAAAATATATATATACATGTGTGTGTGTATGTGTGTTTCCCAGACTCTCTCTCTCTCTCTCTCTCTCTCTGTCACAGAGAGTTTAATTTTGTTTTCTTTTAATTAAAGTAATTGATAATAATTTTTCCCTGCCTTTAAGAATTTGTAATATAAAAATGAACTGATTATCTGTCCGTCACGTAAACAATATCTGTGTTGTGTCTAAGTGACTTACACGTCTTGCGCCATTTAAAATGCACATGAAGACAAGCACATGCACTCACACGCACACGCACACGCACACACATACACAATTTGACTGAGTTCGAAATAAAAAAAAATCCCTATCAATCAGTCTGGACACCTCCTATCCTAGTCTGAGCAATAAAATCATAAAGTAGATGAAAATAAAAGACAGCTAATTGAACTCTTCGGAGATAGGTGGTTTACGGTGGAGTAATGGATTGAGGAATCGGAGAGCAGAGTTCGAATTCCAGTCGAATCCATTACATTCACTTACGTGCTAACACCCTTGGGAAAGGTGTGAATCCTCTTCTTCTCCCTCCAGCTATGGGTAAATAGCAAGAGTTCTTGTGATGGCAACTGCTCTACAGCAGAAAGAAATGACAACCTACTCCGGGGAAAAAATCTGCCTCGTCAGTCATGTATCGAAAGATACATGATCGACTAAGCGTGTATCACGCATGAGGCATAAATGACTGACCGATACACGTCTTACTAATTAACCCATAGCTGGGGGGGTAAGAGCTGGTTCCATAGCTTTTACTGAACTTTTCGGAGATTATAGAATTAATTTTCAACTTTTTTAATTTTGAGGAAATGTTTTTTGGATATGTCATGCACACACACATAACGTATACGCGCACACCGTTTGACTGAAACAGAAATCGACATCTGTTGTTAATTTCCCTTTCTAACAAACCCTGAGTAACATTAAAAAGAGCATAAACAGGAAGGTACACTTTCAAATATTTTTATAGCTCCTTCTATATTTAAATTTATTTGCTTCTTCTTTTCTTCTTCTTCTTCTTCTTCTTCTTCTTCTTCTTCTATGTGCCGTCTCCCTTCAGGGTGTAGACGATCATGGCTCTTCACAATCTCCTATACTTAGCAACTTTTATTAAATTTTATTTTGTTGACATCTCTCATAAAACCTGTTGTCATCCATTTACTCAAGCACGCTGAATTATCTATCTGTTCATATCTATGTATCTATCTCGGCCTGTTCTTCATCTATCTATCTATCTATCTATCTATCTCAGTCTGTTCATATCCATCTATCTATCTCGATCTATTTGAATTTGAATTTATTCATATCTCTCTATTCATAACTATCTATGTATCTATCTCGGCCTGTTCTTCTATCTATCTATCTATCTATCTATCTATCTGAGCGTATTCATATCTATCTATTTATATCTATCGATCTATAATTAAATTCCCAGATCAATTCTCTCGCTTTTTGAAATTTGGATTTTTTTAATGCAACTATAACAACAAAAACATTTCGATTTCATGTTTGCCTTGAAAAAGTCGGAAGACGAAACGCGTCGGCAAATAACTAAGTTTTTTTTTCCAATTGTCATCTTATATCTATCTATCTATGTATCTATCTCGGCCTGTTCTTTATCTATCTATCTATCTATCTATCTATTCGTATCTATCGCTCTCGGCCTGTTCATATCTATCTATCAATTCACATCTATCTCGGCCTGTTCATATCTATCTATCTATCTATCTATCTATCTATCTTTATTTTGTTGTCATCTCTCATAAACCCGGTTCTGTTATCCACTTATTCAAACTCACTGGGTATGTCATTCGCTTTGTTCTTTACTTCCGGGTTCTTCTGGGGGGTGAATGGCAGAGGAATAGAAGGGTTTTTTTCCCAGGTCGGGATGGATGCTGTAGATGTAGTATCTGTTCCGTGCCGGAGGCCTTCGCTCCTCCCTTGCGTTCCCCCAACCCCCACCGTTGCGTAACATCTGTATGACCCGCTATGACCAGCTTATAGCGACCGGCTTAGACGAGCTAAGACCAGCAGCCCGAGCTGTCTTTCTTGCCTGGAATATGTCCTGTGAGTGTCAAATTTTCCAAGCCTTCTTTCCTCATTATGTGTCTTAGAAATTTCAACTTTTACTTTCTGATTGTAAGTATTAGTGTCCTTCTGTAAAACGACATTCATGGCGCTTCAAGTCTTTTCTTCATTTGTGAGAAGTTTATTCAGTATTCACTAGCATATATTACGTAATAGTTCACTACTCTTTTTTTCTTTCTAACGAAATTTTCTTATTTCTTTTCTTAACTTTTGAAAGGCATCTTCCGCTATCCCAATGCACCTTCGGAATTCGATGTCGCTCTTTCCATCCTGTTAAAACACTTTTTAGATATTGTTGTAGCATACCTACGGACGATAATGGTTACGTCGCCATTCGCATAAATACAATAGTCAATACGGTATGTTAGTCTACAGTCGAAGATTCGTCTCCAGCTATGGTGGTCAAACTCTTTGCCTCTGGGCAGAGACGATCCCCATTCGAGGCTATGTCGAAGTGCATGGTCTCATTTCGGAAAACAGCTACCCGATCCAGTTTTATACGGGGTCTACAGGGAATTTTTGGTCGAGCCAACGGGCTCGGATACCCCACATTAAATTCAGCCTTGTGCCACATCTGACCGCGTGAGGCGTTTGGTAGATATCCTGTAGTTGGAGATTCGTCTCCAGCTATGCTGATCAAACTCTCTGCCTCCGGGTAGACAGGATCCCCAGACGAGGCTATGTCGAAGGGCAGAGTCTCGTCTCGAAAACAGCTAACCGACCCGTTTTATACGAGGTCTTCGAGAAATTTTTAGCCTAGCCTACGGGCTCGGATACCCCACATTAAATTCAGCCTTGTGCCACATCTGACCGCGTGAGGCGTTTGGTAGATATCCTGTAGTTGGAGATTCGTCTCCAGCTATGCTGATCAAACTCTCTGCCTCCGGGTAGACAGGATCCCCAGACGAGGCTATGTCGAAGGGCAGAGTCTCGTCTCGGGAAAACAGCGATCAACCCCGTTTTATACGAGGTCTTCGAGAAATTTTAGCCTAGCCTACGGGCTCGAAACCCCACATTAAATTCAGCCTTGTGCCACATCTGACCGCGTGAGGCGTTTGGTAGATATCCTGTAGTTGGAGATTCGTCTCCAGCTATGCTGATCAAACTCTCTGCCTCCGGTAGACAGGATCCCCAACGAGGCTATGTCGAAGAGCTCGTCTCGAAAAAACAGTCCGACCCCGTTTTTATACGTCTCAGGAAAACAGCTAACCGACATCTGACCGCGTGAGGCGTTTCCTGTAGTTGGAGATTCATCTCCAGCTATGCTGATCAAACTCTCTGCCTCTCCCCAGACGAGGCTATGTCGAAAGGCAGAGTCTCGTTTCGGGAAAACCTAACCGACCCCGTTTTATACGAGGTCTCCAAGAAATTTTTAGCCTAGCGTACGGGCTCGGATAACATTAAATTCAGCCTTGTGCCATATCTGACCGCGTGATGCGTTTGGTAGATATCCTGTAGTTGGAGATTCGTCTCCAGCTATGCTGATCAAACTCTCTGCCTCCGGGTAGACAGAATCCCCAGACGAGGCTCTATCGAAGGGCAGAGTCTCGTCTCGGGAAAACAGCGATCCGACCCCGTTTTATACGAGGTCTTCGAGAAATTTTTAGCCTAGCCTACGGGCTCGGATACCCCACATTAAATTCAGCCTTGTGCCACATCTGACCGCGTGAGGCGTTTGGTAGATATCCTGTAGTTGGAGATTCGTCTCCAGCTATGCTGATCAAACTCTCTGCCTCCGGGTAGACAGGATCCCCAGACGAGGCTATGTCGAAGGGCAGAGTCTCGTCTCGGGAAAACAGCTAACCGACCCCGTTTTATACGAGGTCTTCGAGAAATTTTTAGCCTAGCCTACGGGCTCGGATACCCCACATTAAATTCAGCCTTGTGCCACATCTGACCGCGTGAGGCGTTTGGTAGATATCCTGTAGTTGAAGATTCGTCTCCAGCTATGCTGATCAAACTCTCTGCCTCCGGGTAGACAGGATCCCCAGACGAGGCTATGTCGAAGGGGTAGAGTCTTGTCTCAGGAAAACAGCGAACCGACCCCGTTTTATACGAGGTCTTCGAGAAATTTTTAGCCTAGCCTACGGGCTCGGATACCCCCACATTAAATTCAGCCTTGTGCCACATCTGACCGCGTGGGGCGTTTGGTAGATATCCTGTAGTTGGAGATTCGTCTCCAGCGATGCTGATCAAACTCTGTGCCTCCGGTAGACAGGATCCCCAGACGAGGCTATGTCGAAAGGCAGAATCTCGTCTCGGGAAAACAGCTAACCGAACCCGTTTTATACGAGGTCTTCGAGAAATTTTGCCTAGCCTACGGGCTCGGATACCCCACATTAAATTCAGCCTTGTGCCACATCTGACCGCGTGAGGCGTTTGGTAGATATTCTGTAGTTGGAGATTCGTCTCCAGCTATGCTGATCAAACACTCTGCCTCCGGGTAGACAGAATCTCCAGACGAGGCTATGTCGAAGGGCAGAGTCTCGCCTCGGGAAAACAGCGATCCGACCCCGTTTTATACGAGGTCTTCGAGAAATTTTTAGCCTAGCCTACGGGCTCGGATACCCCACATTAAATTCAGCCTTGTGCCACATCTGACCGCGTGAGGCGTTTGGTAGATATCCTGTAGTTGGAGATTCGTCTCCAGCTATGCTGATCAAACTCTCTGCCCCCGAGTAGACAGGATCCCCAGACGAGGCTATGTCGAAGGGCAGAGTCTCGTCTCGGAAAAACAGCTAACCGACCCCGTTTTATACGAGGTCTTCGAGAAATTTTTAGCCTAGCCTACGGATACCTCACATTAAATTCAGCCTTGTGCCACATCTGACCGCGTGAGGCGTTTGGTAGATATCCTGTAGTTGGAGATTCATTGTGGAATTCACTTGACTCACTTCTAGCAGTTGATTACTACTTCTACGCACCGCTGGCGAATCTTATATGTGTTTTTCTTGTCCTAAGTATTATCGTGTGATTATTCTATTCAGCAACCTTCCCTAGGTTAAAACAGATATTTAAATTATTGTACTTGTTTGATTTTGGTATCTCCAATTAGTAATTTGCATGTTGGGTAGGTTCGCTTTTGCCGACAACCATGTATTGCAAGCTTCACTATCTTCTGTAGGAATTCTTTGAGTTTCTGTCCTCTTGTCTGCTATCAACACTAAGCCATCAATATATCTTGTTGTTAAGATTGTGGCCGCCAATAATGAATCCTGGTAGGATTTCTAATTCTCTCAGAATCGCCTCACTTTTTAGGTTGAATAAGTCCGGTGAGAAAACGTCTCATTGTCTTACACTCCTTTCTATTTTTGTATATTTACTGAATTCATTTTCTATCTGTATGATAAAGGATTGCTGCCAGAATAGGTTCGGGATTATAAGAAAATCCTTCCCAAATACGTTAAGGTTAACGAGAAGTTCCAACGGTTCATTCTGACGCAATATGTTCAAAAGATTTTGAACAAACTATAAAGCAAAGGTAGACAATGAATAAACATGCATGATGAAAGGAAATTTTAAAAGACAACTGAAGAAAGCAGTTATTAACAGAAAAAAGAAATTATGTAATAAGAAAGAAAGAAAGAAAGAAAGAAAGAAGAAATCAGAGGATTTAAAGCAAAAAGGAAGTAAAAAAGAAAGAAAGAAAATCAAAGGATTTAAAAGAAAAAGAAAGGAAGGAACAAATTGATTAAAGAAAGAAAAAAAAGAAAGAAAGAAAAAAGAAAATCAAGGAGGATTAAAAAAAAGGAATGAAAGAAAAAAAAGAAGGAACAAATCAGAGGATGCAAAAAATGAAAAGAAAGAAAGAAAGAAAGAAAGAAAGAAAAAGACTGGAAAATCAGATGATTAAAAAAGAACGGCATCAGTATGAGGAAGAAATCAGATGATTAAAAAAGGAAAGAATCAGTAAAGTGAAGAAAGAAAAAAAAGAAAAAAGGAAATGATGATTAAAAAAGAACGAAAAGAAAGGAAGGAACAAATCAGTAGAGGAAAATGAAAAAAAGAAACGAAAGAAAGAAAACAAATCAGATGGTGAAAGAAAAAAAGAAAGAAAAGAAAGAAAGAAAGAAAAGAAAGAAAGACTGTAAGGAAATCAGATGATTAAAAAGAAACGAAAGAAAGGAAGGAATCAGATGATTAAGAAAAAAGAAAGAAAGAAAGAAAGAAAGAAAGAAAAAAAAAAAACTGAAAAAGGAAACAAATCGATGATTAAAAAAGAAAAAGAAAAAGAAGAAAAATCAGATGATTAAAAAAGAACGAAAGAAAGGAAGGAACAAATCAGAAAAGAAAAAAGAAAAGAAAAAAGACTGTAAAAAGAAAGAAATCAGATGATTAAAAAAGAACGAAAGAAAGGAAGGAACAAATCAGTATGAGTGAAGAAAGAAAGAAAGAAAGAAAGAAAGAAAGAAAGAAAGAAAGAAAGGAAATCAGATGATTAAAAAAGAACGAAAGAAAGGAAGGAACAGATGATTAAAAAGAAAAGAAAGAAAGAAAGAAAGAAAGAAAAAGAAATCAGATGATTAAAAAAGAAAAAGAAAGGAAGGAACAAATCAGTATGTAAGGAAATCAGATGAAAAAAAGAACGAAAGAAAGGAAAACAAATCAGAATGGAGAGAAAGAAAAAAGAAAAAAGAAAAAAAAGAAAAAAGACTGTAAGGAAATCAGATGATTAAAAAGAACGAAAAGAAAGATGAACAAAAAAGAAAAAGAAAGAAAAGAAAGAGGAAAGGAAAGGAACAAATCAGTATGAAGTGAAGAAAGAAAGAAATCAAAGAAAAGAAAAAAGAAAAGACTGTAAGGAAATCAGATGATTAAAAAAGAACGAAAGAAAGGAAGGAAAATCAAATCGAAGAAAAGAAAGAAAGAAAAAAGAAAGACTGTAAGAAAGAAAAGAAAGACTGTAAGGAAATCAGATGATTAAAAAAAAGAACGAAAGAAAGGAAGGAACAAATCAGATGATTAAAAAAAAGAACGAAAAAGAAAAGAAAGGAAGGAAATCAAAAATCAAAATGAACGAAAGAAAGGAAGGAACAAATCAAAGAAAGAAAGAAAAAAGAAAGAAAAAATTAAAAAGAAAGAAAGAAAGACTGTAAGGAAATCAGATGATTAAAAAAGAACGAAAGAAAGGAAGGAACAAATCAGTATGAGTGAAGAAAAAGAAAGAAAGAAAGAAAGAAAGAAAAAGACTGTAAGGAAATCAGATGATTAAAAAAGAACGAAAGAAAGGAAGGAACAAATCAGTATGAGTGAAGAAAGAAAGAAAGAAAGAAAGAAAGAAAGAAAGAAAGAAAGAAAGAAATGATTAAAAAGAAAAAAAAGGAAGGAACGGAAGTATTCAAAAAAGAAAAGAAAAAAGAAAGAAAGAAAGACTTTAAGTAATCAGATGATTCAAAATAAAAAAGGAAGGAACAAATCAGTAAAAAGAAGGAAAGAAAGAAAGGAAGAAAAATCGAATTCAAAAAAGAAAGAAAAAGAAAATCAATCAACAAAAAGAAAGAGAATCGGAATATGAAAAGAAAGAAAAAAACAAAAAGAAAAAATCAAATTCAAAAAGAAAAAAAAAAGAAATAAAGCAATCAGAGGATTCAAAACAAAAAGAAAAAAGGAGAATAGGAAGATTCAATAAAGAAGAAAATCCAAGAAAAGAAAGAAGCAAACAAACAAATAAACTAAAAAAAAAAGAGAATTCAAAAAAGAAACAAAGAAATAGATATGTGATTAAGATTGTGGCTGCCAATAGAAGGACATCTAATTCTCTCAGAATCGCCTCGCTTTATAGATTGAATAAGTCCGGTGAGAAGATACACCCTTGTCTTACACACCTTTCTATTTTTTTGTATAATCTGCTGACCTCAACATCTACCAGGATTCAGGAGGTTTACACTTAGAGTAGGTTGGGTATAATTCCTTCCTAAATATGTCATGGTTAATGTTATGGTCCAGGTTAGGACCAAGGAAGAACAACACGAACACAAGAGTAGAAATAACGAAGGTATATTACACGAAATAATAATACAAGATGTGGAAGGTGTTAGTATGACTGTCAGTCTGGTTTGGAGTGAACTACTATCGGCTCGACTCGATTCGATATTTACTTGCCCCCACCCACGAGGGAAAGATGTGGCACAAGGCCGAGTTTTACGTGGGTTTTCCGAGCCCGTAGTTTCGGCCAAAAATGCCCGTAGAAACTGTAAAAACAGAATCGGGTTGGTCAACCTCCCCGAACGAGACCTGCCCTTCGGCGGAGCCTCGTCCGGGTTCCTCTCTGCTCAGAGGCAGAGAGTTCGACCGTCAAGCCGAGAAGCTCGGCTTGATTCGGTATCTAGCCACCCTCCCACGAGGGTTGCATGTGGCACAAGGCCGAGTTTAACGTCGGTTTCCCGAGCCCGTAGGCTCGGCCAAAAAAATGCCCGTATAACCCGTATAAACAGAATCAGGTTGGTCAGCCTCCCCGAACGAGACACTGCCCTTCGGTGGAGCCTCGTCCGGGTTCCTCTCTGCTCAGAGGCAGAGAGTTCGACCGTCAAGCCGAGAAACTCGGCTCGATTCGACCCTCTCTCTTGAGAGGCGTAGTATACATAGTGTTAGAAAGAGTTCATTCTGTAGTTATAGGTAAGGACCCATGACAGTTAACGAGCAATTCCAACAGTTGTTTGGTTCTAACAAATGTCGTAAATAAACAAATAATTTGGATTTTTAAAATTGATCATAATGGAGTAACAGTGATCGAACGAGTGATAATAACGATGAAAGGGAATATGAAAAAATATTAAATGGCTAAGCTGGAAAGCAAGCAGACAATTGACAAAAAAATATAAAATCTTCAAAGGAATCAATAACGCAATTCTTTTTACCAAACTACCAAGACGTCATTCCGAATGCAAAGATTCTAAATTTAACACCTACCTTTGTATGTTCAAGATTTACATGCAGCTGACCTGAAGATTTTCTATAATCTCTACTGACTACAACAATGGCGATTACTTAGGTAAAAATAAATGATTAGATGAAATATTTCGAAAAACGAGCAGCGGGAACAATAAAAATCCAGGATTAACTTAAAATCGTCGAGGTTAACAAAACCAACAAACGGCGATTACGCACTAATGCTTTCTGATGATCACAGTCTGTGCTTTATCTATCTATTTATCTATCTATCTAAAGTCTGTTCATATCTATCTATCTATCTATCTAAAATCTGTTCATATCTATCTATCTCCACCTATTTTCTCATATTTTAGTCTATTCCTGATCTATCTTTCTATCCATATAAAGTCTGTTAATATCTATCTATTTATCTATCTATCTATCTTTCTATCTATCTATCTCCGCCTATTTTCTCATATTTTAGTCTATTGCGGATCTATTTATCTATCTATCAATCTATCTTTCTATCTATCTAAAATCTGTTCATATATATTTATCTATATTTCTATCCATATAAAGTCTGCTCATATCTATCTATCTATCTATCTCCGCCTATTTTCTTATATTTTAATCTATTCCTGATCTATCTATCTAAAATCTGTTCATATCTATTTATCTATCTATCTTTCTTTCTATCTATCTCCACCTATTTTCTCATATTTTAGTCAATTGCTGATCTATCTATCTAAAATCTGTTCATATCTATCTATCTATCTATCTTTCTTTCTTTCTATTTATCTCCGCCTATTTTCTCATATTTTAGTCTATTGCTGATCTATCTATCTATCTATCTAAAATCTGTTCATATCTATCTATCTATCTATCTATCTATATTTCTATCCATATAAAGTCTGTTCATATCTATCTATATATCTATCTATCTATCTATCTATCTATCTATCTATCTATCTCCGCCTATTTTCTCATATTTTAGTCTATTGCTGATCTATCTATCTATCTATCTAAAATCTGTTCATATCTATCTATCTATTTATCTATCTATCTATGTATCTTCTCCCAGGTTGCCGGGTATAGGCACCCCGGGGGAAAAGGTTGGCTGCTGCGCCGTATGTCTTTACACCAGTCATCAT